GTTAAATAACTTTTATCAGGTGATTGCAATTTCCCTTATTCGTAAAGTATTTATTTTGTTGCTAATCATCTGAATAAACCTACTCACGTAATAAGAGATTGTGTATCATTGTTATGGTGAAATTCTGCTATTGTGTCTCAATTTTTAATATAAAATTGCATAATTATGAATACTTTAATTGTTTAGCAAGTTGGAAAAGAACGCGTGAGAACGACTTTTGAAATCTTTGAACAGAGTCATGAGCACATTTCTTCCGACATGTCGGCTTCAAGAGCAATGCAAGGAAAGCATCTTAACAGGAAAGAAAAAACAAACTTCGCAATGTTCTGAACCAATTTGGCAATGACGCTTCACTACAAACTCCAAGGAAGATTGCTTCGTACATAAACAAACACGTATTGATGATGCCCCTTTCACATCAATGGTATTTATTTATTGTATTCTGTTTAAAATTCAATGTTGCATGAGAATATTTCGTTTAACGTTGGAAAATATAAATTATTAATTATCTCAAAAATACTAACAACTACAGTATTTGATTTAGGAATTAACGTAACATTTAATTTGGTATTCGTAATTATTTAAAATCAGAGATCTTCGTTAAAAATAAATTTTATATAAATACACATTTGAATGAAAAAAGTAAATTTATTGTTCGTATTATATACGAATTTTTTACAATTTTGTGAAAAATCATCGAAGACAGTAAATTGCTATGCAGTTATTATACACATGGAGGATATGAGTATTATACAGCAAGAGAAAAATTCATTAACAAAGATGTCCATTCACTATAAAATACAACTTTGTTTTGTTATTAAAAATGTGTTGCGGCTCTATCAATGAAGGATGAAATGAATTTGTATTTACTTTGAACATTGATATTTGTTTGAAGTGTTTTTCTTATTTTTAAAATTTTTAATTTATTAAAGAATTTATTAATTTATTTTAATTTATTAAAGAATATTCATTGTTGCTGGAAATGGAAGAAACAGATGCAGAAGTGCTGAGCAGCCAACATTCTCGTGCAAATGAAAAACAAAAAATTGAAGAAATGAGACAGTTGCAACTTATCAAAATGAAAAATTCCAGTTATTAATTATGAAACTTACGTATAAAAATGTATTGTTCATTTAATAAATTTTTAAATGTTATCTGCATGAAGAAACAGATCCAGAAGTGCTCAGAGCAGCCAAAATTCTCATCAACATGAAAAACAAAAAATTCTAGATGATAGAAGATCTTCGTTAATATTGAAACGCATTACAGATAGAATAAAGNACTAGAGAGAGAATATAAAAGTAGACAATGAGGAAAATAGATTAATTTAACCTGGTGGAAAAAATGTACATTTCTGTTCAGCCATACCCGTATCGTATAAGCGAGAAAATTTAAGACAAAATTTTAATACGAATCTCAGAGATTATTATTATAGAGAAAATTATATTAGAAGCATACAAGCATATCCTGATATGTATGTTTAAAATTGCGTTTCCTTTGTCAGAAATGATAGGAAGATTTGGACAAACATACCCAAAGAAAAAGAAAATATATAATAATACGGAGAAGAAAAATCCCATGAACGTAAAAAGTTATTAATGCTGTTAGACAACCTAAGTTTAGAATCAATGAAAAAATGCAAATAAACAAAAGCGAAGAGTATATAAAGGAATTAAGAAGGAGAAGGAATTCATAAGAAATTCCCCGGAAAAGACAAATAGCCCACTTGAGAAAAAATTAAATAGATGTAGTAAAGAAAATATAGGCTACTCTGATTTAAATACGATTAAAAGGGACAGATAATGAAAATACCCAGGATGATATCTTCAAGGAAATGCTTCATCTTTTAAACAATACAAAGATTAAATTTAAAGTCTATTTTTGATACGTCAATTTGTTAGTTGGAACATAGACAAGGATCCGGTACTTCCACATAGAGATAATGGAAAAGGATTGATTCATATAAATATAGATAGAGTAAAAGATAAAAATTTACTATTTCCATTCATAGAATAGTGAGGAAAGGGAAATAGATAAAGGGGAAGTAGTCGCAGAGCTCGAAATACATTGAAGGTTGATTGGAGTTAGATATAGTAGATAAAATAAAAAAAGGAAGTAAATAACATGTGAAAAGAAGAGAGTAGTATGTTATATACATTGTTATACTTTCTATATACCTTGTTAAGTTATTGAATTAGCATAGAATTAACATACAAGTATAAAGTTGAGTTGAATAAGATTGTTTGTTAATGATATTCTAAATAGACTAATGTTGTTATAAGTGTAATTAAAATAATTATTATTAAGGAAAATAGTTAGCTGCATTAGGAGATATCGATTTAGTAATAGAGAAAAAGAGTATTTAGAAATAGTATGATTGTACTGTTACCTTGACACTTAAGTCTTTACCAACTTCCGAGTGTCAAGAATAATTCAAGAACTTTAAGAATTAACTTTTTGAATTTGTGAGATTTTAACAGAACATAAAGAAAAACAGCGATTTTGACAAGAATTGGAACTTTCCATTCCTCATGAAGAAGCTAAGACATGGTGTGACATAGAACTTTGAACAACTTTCTACGAAAGGAAATCATCGAAGGAGCGACCTCAAGAAAGGCGACCAGTTGTCTTCCTAAAATGTGAAATATTTGAAACTACTTTTTATTAGGAAAAGATTTTGATTTCCATAAAAAGGAAAATTGTTTAATTCATTCAATTGTAATCTCACTCGTAGAGGAGAAAATTTATCTTATGTATAGATTTAATCTTACTTTTTCAAATTTCGTTTAAGGTAAATCGCAATTTAATTCGAATTTGTAATCTCACTTAATTGAGAAATTTTTGAAGAGAATGTATAAATTTAAGATGCGTTTGTCGTGTTTTTAGAATTTTCACGAAAGAGTAAATGGAACTTTTGTATCTGAAAAATCACGCCTCATTTAATTTTAGTGTGATTTTTGAAAAGAAGAGAGTAATGTGAGGGTCGAAAGGGGTGAGAAAGTTTATAGACAATATGATAGGTTCAAAAAGAAACTAAAAATTTTAGAGAAAATAATATTTTGAGAAAATAATATTTCGAACAAGATTTTATCTACACAAAACAGAGGAAACAGTAGAATTTGAAAGGGAGTTGCTTTCCTTTCCCAGGCGAACTGTTGATGAGTTGATAATTTTGCACACGGTACAGAAGACCCAATAAAAAGGCCGTTTTCGCGCCACTCGAGGCAGCAGTCCGTTAAGGGAAGGTCATGCCATATGTAAAATATAGTACCTTCGCAGCAAATCAGACAAGAAGAGACAATTGACATACCAAGGAAATACGTAAGAAGTTTAGACATATGATATAAGGCAGTCCAATAAAAAGGGAGAAGCCATACGAAGAAACCAGCTATTGATAAGAAACGAACTCAAACGAACTCTTATAAGAATATGAAATACTGAATTAAGTACGGAAGAGAATCCTTGAAGAATAAAGCATACAGGAGGAAAGATGTTAACGACCTACAGATGAAGGTAATATCAGAAATGGATTGATGTAAACTCTCTCTCGAAACGCTCTCGTAGAATAAGCATAGGTTTAGTTTTAGTATTAGAATATTAGATTGTTATATGAATTTATCTGTTTAGTTTTATTAAATATTTGTTCATTTGTTAAAGAAATGTCTCATCTTTGTCTGAACCAAATCTATATTAGCTCTACATGCGTGTTAATCCGCATATCTAAATTTGATTAATTGGTGTCAGGAGCTGACGAGATCTAGAATTAATCCTCTAGATCGTTCTTAAACATAATTTGCCGCCCTCCTATAAAAAGTTAGTGAGCCGATCTCACGATCGTGTGCATGTTAAGTGATATAGGTATCAATCCTATACCCTTGGTTCTCACAACAGTTACGTTCAAATACATATAATTTAGATCTTGTCGTACATCCCAATTCAAACTATGGATGTTACATTTCTATACTTTTTTTTATTTTTTTATTTATTACGCATACTGGATACACTCCATGCGGGGAGCAAAACCATCTCCGATAAAAAAAAAAACACTTAGATACAATGAACATAAAGATCACAAGCAAAGTTATACAATAATAATTTATATAAATAACAAATTACATTTGATTTTTAATTCTTTAACTAATTATTAGATATAAATGAAAGTTTAAAGTTTGGGAGCATCTCTCAATAAAATACAAAAAACTAATGGCTCAATTCTAAAACAGAATGATGCGATTGGGACTTTGACAGAGCTGTAGAGCGTATCGATAGGAACAAAAGTCAATGGAACCATGCCCGTATGGGCGACCCTTCACGAGATATAGGCCCCCCGAAAATGACTGGAAAATTTGAAACCCTCAAAAATGGGGTAAAATTCAGAAGTGAAAATTTTCGGAACTAAAATCTCGAAACTGTCATTTTGCCGTTTTTTAGAACTTACTAGACACTCCCAAAACCTCCTAAACACGAGGATCGCCACCATTCGACTGTCACTTCCGGGGAGTGCCAAGGGGAGTTGCGCCTCGCTCTCTCTCTGCTAATCCTACCGCGTGTCTAACAGGCAGCAAGCCGTATTCTAACAACACTTCCATCGACAAAGACCAAAGAAAAGCCCTATTATTAGCGCTTATTCGGCAACGCTTTCTCCGCTGCCGCTCTATACCAAGCGTGATTCTATTTTGCTATCTCTATCACATTCTAACTGACGACGGAAAGGAAACAAATCCTGCACTCACCTTCAACAGCGTCTCCTCTTGCGTCTCCCGCGACGTCCTCTCGCTACCTGGCGACGCCTAGCCTGATCCTAATGTCGCGTAGGTGAGGATGGGGTGACTCCGCTAGTCCCTGCCTCGGCTAGGTCCTGGGGGTCGATGACGAAGGTGGTGGTGGTGGCGGCGCCTGATGTTGTTTGTCTGAAAAATCACATAATCCAGGTTTCATATCTGCAAACAAGTATCCTTTGGTCACGCGCACTATACACAAGCTGCACTACTCACTGGTTGACCGTCATCCCCCTGACGTTCCTCTACGTCGCCCTCGTGCACGGGAACATCGAAATAGGGCTCGTCGGGAGGCAGATGTTCATCCACGGGCACACAGATCGTCTGGAGTTGCAGACCCTGGCAACCGGGACCTGGGTAGACGGCCACGATGTCCCTGATGAACTGCCGGAATTTCGCCAATGTTGTTGGCGACTGGGACAGGAACCGCATCCAGTACACGTACGTGCAGGTGTAACTTTGCAGGCTCCTGTCTGTTCGGAGCGACTTGATGGACTTCAGCCAGCGATGTCTACACTCGATGTTTTGAGTGTGGTCCTCAGGATCATCCGTGTCGACGAATTTGCAAATAAAAGAAAAAATAAAAAATGTTGCTTCGCCATAACGCCCGTCATTTTCAATTAACACATTTCAATTAGCACATCCTTCTCATCTCCCGGGGCCCCGCTGGCTGTGATTGACGATCTTATGGTCAGAGAAGCCCAAAGCCGTACAACCGCAATACTGGGCCGCGCTGTCGGAAACTATGATGGATTTTGGAGCGATGTATCCGAGCATGTGTCTCCACACAACTTGTCTGCTTTTGTTCTCCACCTGAAAGAATACGGAAAAGTATAACACAATTCGTCTAAAATGCGCCAATGTTTGCCGGACAGGAAACCTTCCTCGATAACAAAAAAATAAAAGGAAATAATGTTTCGCTACCACTTACATGCCAGTACATCAGCTCTCTCGTTTCCCGACAGTAGGCACCAAATATTGTAATTTGGGTGCTTACACGTACGCGGCCGTGGTTGTATTTTCGCCTCCGAGTGAAGGTCTCATCGATCCAAAATCATCAATACAGACAGACTTTTTGGCAAAGTCACAAACGTGGACCAATCGTTACCTCGACGTGCATTTCTTCGCCGCCTAGCTGGATATCTTGATTTTGGGAGACAAAAACCTCCGCAACTACCCGGCAGAAGTTGTACCAATCTACCGCTTGTCGCGAGGGCCACGCCACATTGCTCTCCGCGGCGATGGTGACCAGCTCCTGCTTGACCCATGAATATATAAACTTCAGTACCTGTAAAATACAGAGAAAACACATCTCGTACACTAACGTCATCGTAATCGGCACAATCGAATCACAAACGCGGAACGTAGCGTGATACAGGAAAGACTGTACTTTCCGGTTAGCAGGGCACCCGTAACTACAATTATTTTTAGCAAATTCGAACTTTTCTTTCGCATGTTTTAGATAAACATCACTGTAAATAAATAGCAACTAATTACAATGTAGAAGTTTCCAGTGATTACGTCGACTTCTAACATTGGTATACAGTGGCTAACGAAGAGAATGCTAACTGAAAAATACAGGACTGGGAAACCGCCGCTTTTCTGAGTTTTTCGCGATCGACTGCAATATCATACTTCTGTAGCTGAAATCTTCGCTCTTTCGAAGAATGTATTGTGAGTACAAGACAGGCTACTGGTGCACACAGCCCTCCTGACAGTGCCGCCTGTCCGTCGTTTGTTTTTTTTCTTTCACTTTTTCCCAGCGGTAGACAAATCCGAATCTGTCAGGTGGAGCAGGTTCCTTGTGCATATTGCCTGAAAATAAGACAAACTCATTGAAATCGCTTAGAAAACTAGCGAAACATTGCTCCGCGAATATTCGCTGTTCCTGTACGTGCAGGAATCAAGCGACGCTTACCTCTGCACTTAGGGAACGGTGATATGGAACCAGTTACGTCCGGATGCGGCACGAGCCCCACAAGATGGCAAAATTTCTGGGCGGCCTCTTCGGTGGGGTGGTAGCGAAGAAATTCGTAGGCAGTCATGTTTTCAAATATGTCTGCGGGATCCACAATGGGAGATGCTGAAACGTCACAACTGAATGGCATCTGAACTGAATGGCGTTTCTCAGGAGACGACTGGGTACAAAGGCTTGAAGGCGACCTGAAGGCTTACAAAACCTCGAGTGGCAGTGCCACGGACACGTGACCCGCGGCCAAATCGTCCATTGGCCAACAGGCCTGCTCCCACTTCACGGTCGAGGGGGGATGCGTTGCGCAGCGCGCTGCATCTGTGCGGCCGAGGGGACCGCCTGGAGGGCCGTCATGCGCAGTACGCTCCTCGGCCTAACATGGCTCAAGTAAGAGTTCAAGTGTTTCTGGCAGAGCGACATAGCAGGCCGGTGCAGAGAAAAGTGGACCGACGACTGCCGGGACCAGGGTTCGATCCCCGGCTCAGATAAGAGGCGTAATAATAATAGATATTTTTATTTACAGACAACAGATGACGACTTCAGAAGGCTGCAGGCGGGAGACTTGGGCTGCCGGCCGCATGTGAGGGAGAGACAGAAGCAGTGCGTAGACAGGAGGGGGAGACACGCGCTGGGGGCTAAGGAAGGGGAGAGAGCGCTTTTTTCAACATTGAGATGGAGAAAAACCGAAAAAAATTTCTGCCACGTGATGCCGTCCCTTTTGGCCGCGGAGTCACGTGACCAGATATGACGTAGGCGCATCTTTCGAAGGCTATATCTCGCGAAGGGTCGCCCGTATGAGCATGGTCCTATTGACTTATGCTTGCACAGGGGCTCTACATTCTGGGGGGGTGAAAATAGCGTCATTCTGTTCTATATTTTAGCCAAACCAATAAATAAAAACAATAAAGAATAAGTAAATAGCTTACCTATAAAAAAAAAATAAGTTAATACTGAAGATACAGATGCTCCCAAACAACACCAGAAACAAGATTAAACTTATAGTAGAGGAATCACGCTCCCTAATACAAAAGATCCACAGATTTTTTAGAAAACAAAAACACTTTAAATTGACAACATGGTACCGATAAAATTTTAAGAAATAAATACCTGGTAAGGACTTCACAACCAAAAACTTCATGTAGCACTTTAAGACGCCCACATTTAGCCAAAATATGCCAGGCATCCACAATTTCTTTCTCAACACAAAGTCACAAGAATCTCTCGAATAATTATTTTAAAAATTTAATGAATTACACTAGCCTGTATAAATAAAGACAAAATATAAAGGGAAATGTCTTTATTATATAAAGAATTATCAAAAAAAGTGACATTCAAATCCTTATACCAACAATTTTATACGCTATTATTTTTTCATTTATATTGTATAAAAAATTATCAAAAATGTTAACGAGAAGAAGAGACCAGTCCATTAAATTCAAATCATCATTAATAAGATTAATACCATTATTATTACAGGAATCAATAAAATAATGTGTCTAACCTATAGACTTTTTACCAAGTATAAATTTCAGGCAAACCTTACTCAGATGATAATCATCAAGATTAGAAATTCTAGTAATCCAATTTCTTATCCTACTAAATATTATAAATTTTATAGGAGTCAAAGAACATTCCATCGTAATTAAATAACCTGGTGTACAACGCGGTAAATAAAATAAGTTTTTAATGAATTCAGTCTGTATACCATCGCCATTGGTCAAGTTAAAACCCCAAATCTCTGAAGCATATAACAAAGAGGGCAACACCAGTTTTCAATAAACGTAAATAATCAGTCAGATTACGTAATTTGGCAGACCTCCCTAACTGAATAATTTTATTTATCAATAATCTAGCATGAATTCTCTTATTAATGTAATGCATACGAAATAAACCATTAGACGAAAATGTAACACCCAAACTTGAATTAGATACAACTTGAATTGGAGAACCTTTAAACCACCATTTATCTGCCCTCGCACTCTTACCTCCTCTTCGAAAAACAATAATCTTAAAGACTTATTCAAATTCAATTTCAAATCATTTTCATCTACATAAATTGCCAATTTATCAATCAATCTTTGAAGTCAAACCACAGAATCAGATAAAATTACAATATCTGCGTAAGCCAGTATTTTAATTTGGAAACCATCTATTTCTATGCCATCACAGGAAGAGTTAATATCAAAGAGATCGTTCAAAAAAATACTAAACAAGATTGGGCTCAAAATACAGCCCTGCTTAACACCAGTCTTAGAAAACATTACTGGCGAACAATTACCTCCAACTCTTACCATAAGCGAAGAATTTTCATACAAAGCAATAAGTAAAGATATAAATTTATAACTGAAACCATAACGCAACATTTTTTACCATAACAAATTCCTACAGACTCTGTCAAACGCAGACGATAAATCAACAAAAAATGCGTATACCTTCTTAAGTTTCCGTAAAGAACTTTTCTGAATAACCGTGTACAAAACAAAAGTATTATCCAATGTGGAATAACTAGCCAGAAATCCTGTGATTTTCATGCAATATATTTTTAACTTCTAACCATAGTGTCAGTCTTCTATACAAAATAGTACAAAACAATTTCGAGACAAGATTTCGATGATAACCAGATGCCTCTATAATTACCAGGAACATCCTTTCTACCATTCTAAAAAATCGGAATTAAAATACTCGTCTTCCAAGACTCCGGTATTATCCCAGTATCAAAAATCTTTAAGAAAAGACTCAAATGATGTGGTATCAACGTCTCAAAATTCCAGAATTCCATTGGTATACCGTGAAAACCTGGGACTTTATTTGGCTTATACCTCTTCAAAGCATCATTAAGCTCACTCATAGAAAATTCATAGTCCAAAAGTTCATCAGACCAATTCCTACAATAGTTAAAAATCGAAATATCTGCAAAATAAGGGTCCAAAGAATCAAATAAATTTAAAAAGTGATGAAACCAATCATCAATGGGAATAAAGCTGAAATTACAAGATTTAGTCTGCTTAACATGTCGGAAATAATTCCAAAAAATTCTGCTATCTTTCCTAAAACAATTCTGAATTTTACCAGCAAATTTTTTTTCTCAATGCAAAACCGCTTCGCTAAACTTCGTAACATAACAAAACGTAATCGATCATTAGAATCATTACTCTTCCTAAAAGATCTCCATGCTGTATTCCTTGCACTAATTAACATTCTACAGTCAGAATCGAACCACGAAAAAGAATTCTTATGTCTCCTGATATTAAATTCCCACTTACAAGCCAAACTAAAAAGACAATTACTCAGGTCTTTCATTGAATCAAACTTATTCGAAGTACATATTTCCTCCATAGCCAACCTTAATTCAAACCAAAATCTATTAATCCTTTGCCTCTTTTCTAAAGAGACAGATCTATCATTGCCACAGGCCAGTCGTAAAATCAAAGGGTTATGAAAGGAATCTAAACACTGATCTATCGTAAGAGAGAACATCTTTCCAAATTAACGGAGAAACTATGACCAAATCAATAACAGACCAACCCCGATTAGAGACGAAAGAATATTCACCCGCTTCATCACCTAAACATCTTCCATTAACATTAATCATATCCAAATCATCACATAAATGAAGCAACTTTCTACCACAAGAGTCAATCACAGAGTCTTTCAAATTCCTACGCAAAGGACAAACAATACCAAAAGAATTGCAAAATGCGTCAGAAATTAAATTTTCCAATCCAATCCTAGCATTAAAATCACCCGCAATTAATACATTCCTATTATCTAATATCAAACCAGTTAAAGTATCAAAAATAGACTGCCAGTCATTTTTCCTAAAATAAACAAAACACCAAAATATTACCAAGTTCGGCACCAAATTTGACAAGTATTAGAAAAGCATCTTGATAAACAACAACACAGGTAAAAGAGAATTTTACTGCTAATAACCAGCCTGCACAATAACGACCTTTCGCGTGTAACTTAAGACTTTCCAAAATAGAGATTGTAACCTTGAAAACAATCAGTTACGTCCGAATTTCTATTAGTAGAACCATACCAGGTTTCAGAAAGAAATACAATATCATACTGCAATAAATACTTCCAAAAAAACTCAGGTTTATTAAATAAACTAGCACAAATCAGAAATGAAGTACCCCTATTCTAGTTGCCAAGAAGAAACAGGCTTAACCTGGTCACAATCAACATCGTAAAAGGTACTTCGTTCCATCAATAATAATCTTATCAAACTATTTTTACCATTCGCTCTCCAAAAAGTTTTGATTGTCTACCAAAATTTCGAAGCTTAAATCTAATATTTCTCACTCTAGGAGAAAAGTCATCATTTACATAAACCCCATCCGGTTTTAACTTCAGAACTCGTTTCTTAAAGTACATTTTTTCAACAATTAATCAACAAAAGTACAAATAATTAATCTAGGGGAATTGGCTTTTTTCTTTCCCACTCTCATTGCCCTACCGATTTTAATGTAAAACTCGTGAAGCAAATTCAATTATTTTCTCTTTAGTTTCTACGGAAGATTCATCCCGAACCTCCGCCAAACCGGAAATGACAACATTTATTTGTCGTTGGTTATCCAAAAAATCAAGTTCACGAGTAATATCATTAAACTTTTTCGTAACATTACTTTGATCACTTAAACTACAGTTTTCATTAGCCAATTTTTTTAATGTTTCTAATCTATTATCTAAGTCAGCCATACCTTCATCCAAATTTTTTAACCATTCAGATACATAATTTACCTAGAAATAAGTTAGTCGACCTTAGAATTCATGGAGAAATGTAAACGCAACAGAACACGTATACCCTCTTCGAGGTTAAAAACTTCTCCTTCCAGAAGATATGCAAATTCTTCCTCCTCACGACTCTTCAAAGATTTCTTTTTACTACTAGTCTGTTTCCCTGAAGCTCGGTGAATACGACTTTCTTTTCGGATTAACTGCCATAATAGTAAAGACTTACCTATAAAAAAGAAATAAGTTAATACCGAAGATACAACACTGACAGATGCTCCCAAACAACACTCTACTCTACTCTACTCTACTCTACTCTCTCTCTCGTTTATATGGAGATTGCAGCCTATTCGCTTTTTCTCCGACGTGCAGCGCCACCTTAGTTGTTAAAGCGACCCGATCGATGAATATACTGTTCTAGAAGGTAGACATGATACCTCGAGGACATGTCGGCCTGTGGCCAATACAGAGGAGACAATGTACGCACAGTCTGTAAATTCAGTCGTAAGTGTTTCAGTAGGTCCATGCGACTCGTAGTATACTCTGGACACCTTAGCCAGAAATGTTCAGTAGTTTCTGCCTCCCCACAGAACAAACAGTTAGGGGACGGGACAATACCACGCGAATAAAGAAAGTCATTGAGTGGGGCCGTACCAGTCCGTAGTCCCAAACAACACCAGCAACAAGGCTAAACTTATAGTAGAGGAATCACGCCCCCTGGTAAGGACTTCACAATCAAAAACTTCTTCACGTAGCACTTTAATACGCCCACATTTAGCCAAAATATGCCAGGCATCCACAATTTCTTTCTCAACACAAAAGTCACAAGAATCTCTCGAATAATTATTTTAAAAATTCAATGAATTACACCTTACCTATAAAAAAGAAATAAGTAATACCGAAGATACAGCACTGACAGATGCTCCCCATATTTCTATAAACTAATTAATTTTTATTTTTATTGGAATTGTGAGATACACGTTACGTTCTATATTGGCCAAAAATTTTAAAAAGTAATAAATTATATATAATCCTTACAAAAAACGATATAATTAAACAATATATATTTATATACATATTATATTCATTTAATCACTGCGATAAGGATATATCGCCAAATATACTCGCTATATAATTGCTGAGACAGGTAGAACATAGCATTGCCTGTGTGGAATCGAGTGTTTAAGTTTGTGTAATGCAAACCAAGAATATTTAAACCTTAATGATAAGCTGGTACACGTCTTTACCACGGTGACCTACTTTATACAATACAGAGATGAAAGACTGGATAGCGGACTTCTAAAGATAATATAACAATAGGTGTTAGTTTCAAACCGTTCACTAACAGATGAAAACAACCTATTTTATTAAGTTTTAAACATTAAATGAGTCTTTAAATTCAATAGTATTAATAGATAAAATTATTCATTTAAAAAATCTAGTAATTACTCGTAGTTTTTTAAATAATTCACAATTTTGTTAATTTTTAATACNTTTAAACATTAAATGAGTCTTTA